TTTAAATTTATTGTTGTTCACGAGCAACCCAGTGAATGAATCACACAAACATAAAAACCAGTATTTTAGCACCAACTTGGTGAATATTCAGAGTTAGAACAACTGCAATCATAAACAAAAATACACAATAAAAGTAACAACATTTTACCTTGAAAATAAGTTTCAACTGCATTAAAGGGGTCCTATTATGCTCTTTAACAAAGTCTTGATTTTGTTTTGGGGGTGTACTAGAACAGGCTCTCATACTAGGTTGTTCGAAAAACACATTATTTTTCACATATTTTACATTATTACAACACCTCTCTCCCCAGTCTGGCATGAACGGGAAAAAGTAAAAAAGCATAATAGGACCCCTTTAAAGCCCTTCATTCTAGTTTTAGCTTTACTACCAGATGCTGGCTAAATTGCAAAAGATCTGGTCCACATTGCAGCTTATTCAGGCCATTTTTGTCATTATCAGATCACTTAAGGCTCTGACACAACAAGCTGATGGTTGGCCAACATTGGACTGTCACTGAGCATCGACCGGCCCAGTTTTTGGTGTGTATTCTGCACTGTCGGCATTAGTTGGACAATGTTGGGGCTTTTTGGCTGATTGAGAATCTTGAATTGGCATCTGTTAGTGTTGGCACGATTGATGAGAAAGAGATCTCTGATTAGCTGTTCAGCTTTGTAAACCAGCACACAAAGAAAAAAAATGAAAGTGGCAAGGCAAGCAAACTACGAAGACAAGAGGGCACAAAAAGAAAGCGCCTTCATCTTTTCGGAGCATTCCAATATGTGAATATTTGTATAACGACATGGCAATATGTAGCCTAATTAATATAAGTGAAGGCCAACAGATTATAACGATTCATATTCAAAATGGTAAGCAAACTCTGCTTTGTTTAGTTTTTTTTTTGTATATTCGCATTATTAGTTCAAAATGTCCTTTTTTAATGACAAATACACGTTATGGACAGTTTACTCTCACTCAACGTTTTTGTCCAGGCAAAGCTGATGTGAGCCAACACCACCATCTACTTTCATCTCCACTTGTTCTTTGATGTTGATTTGGTGTGTACCAACTTTAAGATGATCAAACATTGTTTACTGTATGCTGTGTGGTAAGAATCCAGTCCATTTTCTGGTACATTGCTGTTCCTAATAATTTTCAAAAATTATCAGATGTGCACTTAAACTGAGCCAATCAGAAAAGAGTTTGGATTGAGAAATTGCTTTTCAGTGTGTAATAGAGTGGGGCAACTATGACTTCACTTTGTAGGCCGATCGGCTGTTAGCATCGCACTGGTTCCCTTGACAAAAAGCCAATAGAGTTTTTCCATAGGCTTTTGGATTATCGCAAAAAAATAAGCTCTGTGTTCAATCATAGTTCATGAAACTTACATGTTTTGTCCATCAAGATAATCTTCACAAAATAATTGAACTTTTATGAATTTTGAAGCTTAAATAAAAGCGCCAGAACTTAAAAGCTAAACTTAGGCATAAACGAACTACAGCATCACGGTCGCTCGCCTTCAGCATCACCACCACCATGATCCTGACAACTTTTCAAACTTATTTTTAACATGTTCAGTGAAAAGGATTTACTCTGTGGATGTATTTTAATATAACATTATAATAACATTGTCAAACAACAATATAAAATGCGGGAAACTATTAATTGGTTATTCTACAATTAATTTTTCATCATAATAAGTGTTATGATACTGATTTTGATCATATTGACAGGGCTCAATGCTAAGGAAATTTTCTACTGGCCCGGTTTGGCCAGTGGTTTAAATTTTTTACTTGCCCTGGCAAAATTTTCACAGGCCTAGCCACAATCAATAAATAAGACTTATTGTTTTCATTGTTGACTGTAACATTGTATTGTAATAAATGATAACCATTTTGCACAAATAGGAACAATAGTTCAAAGATAAAACTGAAATGAAGCATGCTTTTTCAGGTTTTTCAGGTAGGTCTAACTATTCCAGTTAAGGATGCACTGATCAGGATTTTTCGTGACCGATTCCAATAGCCGATGTTTTTTTTTTTAACAATCAAATGAGCCCATTCCCATACTCGTTGCCAATTTATTTCCTTTTTATTACTTTTTTTTTTTACATTAAATGTTTATTTTGCTCTGTTACTGGCCAAACTAACCTTAAACAAACAAACAAAATTATATGCAACATGAAGCAACCGCATGTTGTTGGCAGCGGCTATTTGCAGTAAGTGTAAATAGCGATACAGGCTATTTACACTAAGTGAAAATAGCAGTATTTTTAACAATATGCTGACAACTCGCTCAAGGGACAAGGCCATGTAACCTTTTCACGATGATAATATTTTTTTTTTTAATCCAAATAGCTTGCTGAAATACTTAATAATCATCTACGGCAGCCATGCTGATCATGACCTTTCCCTGTGACCCTGATCGCGCCTGACCTGCCTTCCGTTTCCATTATACGCCTTCCGTTTCCACTATACTCCTTCTGTTTCCACTATACTCTCTCTCACACATACATACATTCTTCTCTTACATACACATATTTTCTTCAGACATACATACATTCTATATATATGTATGTGAAAGGAGAATGTATGTGTGTGTGAGAGTAGAAATGTATGCATGTGAAAGGAAAATGTGAGTATGTGAAAGCAAAAATATATATGTATGTGAAAGGAGAATGTATGTGTGTGTGAGAGTAGAAATGTATGCATGTGAAAGGAGAATGTAAGTGTGTGAGAGTGCCAGAATGAATTATGGCTTATACGGCCCCTCATAAGAAAACATACATTATCATACAAGCATGAAAATCCAAATATGCAAGCACCCTAAAAAATAAATAAATAAATTGATAAATAAATAATAAATAAGTAATTTATCAAAATATAATAGAAAAATAATATAAATAATAATAAAGTTGATATAACCTAAAGGCGATTCTAAACCTAAATTAAAAAACATAAGCAAGTTATTTTCAAGTGAGATAATACATTTATCTTGAAGAGACGAAATTATGTAATTGATCTAAGAAAAGAAGGAAGATTGTTCCAATCAATAGGAGCTTTATATTGAAATGACCTGCGGCCGACTTCAGTGGAGATTCTAGGAACAAGAAAATACGGATACTGCATATGCCGAAGGGGGTAAGAAGATATAGATGGAACCAAAAACTGTTTTAAATAAGAGGGACAATTAAAATAAATACATTTGAAAAGAAACTGAAGCCAGTGATATTGCCTTTGGGATTTAGGTTGGAGCCAGTCAAGAGCTTCATACAACAAACAATGATGACTTCTATAAGGACATCTCAAAACAAACCTACATAAAGAATTGTGAGCAATGTTTAGAGGTTTTAAGTCAGGAGAAGAAATAGCAATATGTCTATTGTGTTAAATAGCTCATGAGCTGAACCAACAATCCTTCAGTTACAAGCCCAGATCTGCATCTCATGTTTTAGTGGTTTTTGGTCTGTTTGCTTCATGACACTAAACCAGGCGGAAAACCTAAGCAGCGGTCTGTGCACGTTTTCTTTCAACAGCTTTGACCAGTGGAATTTATTCACCACATTGCATCATTTACCTACAAACCTGATTGTTCTACAGATCATTCCATTCTCACACAAAAGATTATTTTATTGAAGTATGATGAGTGCTATATTCTCAGTATAGTCACAGCTAAAGGGGTGTTGTTAAGCATAAGTGTTTTATTGCCATTTTTATTTAACTTTTTTTCATTTTCATTTAAATGTTATATTGCTATGTAAACTCAAATGACTCCCTTACACTGGACAACACAGCCTGTGATACTGTTCCTACACAGAAAACATAACTACATGGGAGCTGCACAGTGCTATGGTGTGTATAGGTGTTTTGCAACAGAGCATCAGAATCCAGAACTGGAACCATCCATTTTATAATTAGTTTTAAACTGTGGCAATCTTTGCATTCTTACATCCTGTTTTCATTTTCACCCACACTGAAGAAGTCCAGTCAAAATGGTGAAAATGGTTCTCATTCTAAATGATTCAAAACTTAAATATTTTAAAATTTGAATCAAGTGCTTTTGTGAAAGCATACAAATAGACAGTTGCTTGTGCTTTAGCATCAGTCCGCAAATGTTTTCTATGGTACGGAGGTCCTAGAATACAGGAAGTGTGTGGGTTATGAGGCTTGTCTCACAACTCATCAAAGAGGCCATTTTAATGTTCACTGCTAAGATTAGTCTCTGAATTTAAAGAAAATATTAGTCTTTGACACTAAATAAATTTTATTCATTATGCACATGAACGTTTGGGCGATTTACTCTGTGAAGGCATTGCATATACTTGTTCTGAGTTTGAAGTGCTACTCTGTGCCACTCAGACATTCTGTAAAACCATTTTTGCCACATTAGAACTTAAAAATTTAGCAATAAACAGTTATAAGACAGTTGACATTAAATACATTTAAGAAGTTGACATCAAGCTGGTGACATGCTGTAGTCTATGTAAAACTATTTCAAACTATTTTTACATTGTTGTTGTGTTTATTTAAGAATTATGTTTGTTTAATGTTTATTAATTTATTTAAAAAATAATGAATCACACCACAGGACCAATTAAAATAATCCAGGGAGGACTAAAGTTTTTTTTTTTTTTAAGTGATGGGAAAACTGTGGTGAACAAAAATGGTCAACAGCTATAGGACCTATCACATACTTCTCTTACATATGTATTTAGCTTACTTTTTAACTTAAAGTTTAGATGATGATAAACATTACCTGTATTGTACTTCGATAATATAAACAATATGATCAAAATGCAGCTAAAACCTGCTGTAGATATTTCTTATATGTCCTGTTCAAAGAGCAGCTGTAATATCTTAAGCAGTTTCACACTCTAAACATCAAGTTGTTCTCTTGAGCTCAGTGGTTCTCGGTGGTGTCCCACTCTCACATAACCACTTCCCCTCGTTCCTGTCTGCAGACTCTCAGTTTGATCAGAAGTGCTTGAAATGTTGAACGGAGAGTGAGAGGTTCATTTCTACCTGCTGCTGTCATGGAGGTTTTACAAATCAGAGTCCTGCATCTGAATTTGTGTGTCATCCTTATTTTTCTGACCAATGCAGGTATGTTGTAAAATTTTTTGGTTTTGTGTTGTGTGTTGTGTATGTTATTGTGACTGTTAACAGTGACTGCGGACATGAGCTTCAGGTGTGTCTCATCAGCTTTTGCATGTGTGTTTTCACATGTGTGTCTTACCGCCCGATGCAGTAACTATATACCTGCAGTGATTGTGATTTTCTGTCTGTTCATCAGATTATTCCAAATCCAATCAAGAGCAAAGGATTCGGCAGCACATTAACAAAACAGTGTTTGTGGGGGAAACAGTTACAGTTCACTGCAACAAAACCCAGTTTGATGATGATTTCACATGGAAAATGAACAACTCAGTGATTTTTAGGCAAGACTCTGAGAGAAACAGAACAATGAGAAACTTCACCTCAAACAGGATGAACATCGACCCAGCAGCTCCAAGAGAATTAACAATACATCAAATACAAGCGTCTGATGCAGGAAACTACAGCTGTTACCCAGCAGCGATGAGATGGACATTAACAATAACAGGTTATTACCAGATTTTATCTATGGATTCTTTAATATAAAACTAGTTCAGTGAAGCAACTATAAGTATGGTTTTAACTAGTGACTAGTAACTAGTAGAGTCCTGGTTGACTGATATGTTAGTTTGACTTTTTTTGTCTGTCAGAAAATCAGATCAGACCAGCATCACTCAAACAAATGCCTCTGTACATCATCATCATCATCATCATCATCCTCATCTCATGTTCTGGAGTCATTATGATCTCTCTGATCATCACCATCAGCATCTGTATTCACAGGTGAGAAACTTTAACACATGAAGTGACGAGATTGTTTATTTATTCCAGGTTTCATTAACTATTCATATGTGCTAGCAAACACTGATCATATTTTCACAAGTATGGATATATTTCATTCTCCAGCTTTACTGTGTTATCTCTGCTAATTTAAAACACATTAAAGATTAAAGTGATGAGTAGAAAGTTGGAAAGCCAAGAACATCTAATTAATATTTGTTTTATTGTAATTAAACATGAAAACATGAGAACAACAAGCTATTTTCAAATACAATAAAAAAACATAATGTGATATGTTATATTTAAAGGAGATGTAAAAACAACATACAGAGTCACAGAGAAATGCGACAGGACTTTGTAAGTTTTTCCCTTTGTGTGAATAGTTTACATAGTTATAAATTATTTTCATTCAAACAAATTTTTTTTTAGATCAATAAGTAATTGAGATTAATTTCTCTTTTTCACTTTAGTCACAGGCACCGGTGATAGGAAGGATACAGACTCAAAGCAGTCAGTACTTTGAAAGATATAACTCTGTGCATGGACAAGTATGAAATTATTCTTTTTGTTCATTTTTTTTCTTCCAGAAAATGTTTAGTAACAGTTGTATGGGATTGATATAACAAAGTGAATGAAAAAGCTCTATAATGTACATATTTGTATTTTATGTTTGCTTATTTATGTGTACATTTTAAAGGCATAGTTCATGCAAAAAAATGAAAATTCTGTCATCATTTATTCACCCTCATGTCGTTCCAAACCTGTAATGACTGTCTTTCCACTGCGAAACATAAAACATAAAATTAATTGCTTAATAGCATACCACATTGGCTGTTTATTAGTATTTACATATTAATCCCTTAATCTGACCAAATACCTAAATTTAATAACTGCTTTACTAACTATTACTAAATTAGGAGCAAATTAGGAGTTTACTGAGCCACAAGTTGTATAGTTAATCGTTAGTTAATAGTGAGAATCGATCCCCAAACTAAAGTGTGACCACAATATCTTTTTTTGTATTCTGAAAAAGAAATAAAGTCATGTGGTTCAATTAGGGTAAGTACATGATGACAGAAATTTCGTTTTTGCATGACCTATCCCTTTTATGTCAATTTACAACATGTCCTCAAACACTAGATATAAAACTATACTGTATGAATGAATGCAAGGGGTCTGTGAAATGATAAAACAGTTCTGCTGCTTAAGATAACTGTCAATCGGGTTGTTAAAGGTGCTACTGAAATGGATTTTTAAAATAATGGGATCAGGAATGGCCGTTTTTGGTCACACTTTAGTTTGAGGACCAATTCTCACTATTAACTATTAACTACAATCTAAAATATGGTCATGCAGAATAAGGCATTAATATGTGCTTTATAAGTATGAATAAAGACGATATGCTAGTAATATGCATGACTCCTTGATTGTGAATACACAGGCAGTGTTCAGAGTAATTATTGAACAATATGAAATATTTCAGCATGACTTAAAATTAGTCAAGGATTGGAGTTTAATAGCTATTCCCAGTCATATTGGTCAAGCTTTGTGTGAATGTTACTTAACAAAACCACTGGGCCTTACAATGTAGCACTCACTTGTTATGAAGGCAACATTGATGATGGCTAAAAATCCTGATCCGAAAGAAAATCCCAAGGTCTAATTAAAATTGGCAGTGACAATGTCAGTGTGTAGCTATATGGTGTGTGTAGGTGAGTACAGCTACAAGATGTTTTTTTTTTTTTAAATGTGGGCAACATTCTGGTCTTAAAGAGAATGAACAAACATCAAGCTCTATTTTGATTTGTCCGAGGTGTGATAACTTAGTCTATAGCCTACTTAGGCTAGCCTGCAGTTTTTAAATGTATATCACTGTTTGCAATAAACCACAAGAGTGTCTCTATAGAGTATGTGTAAATAATTTACAAAAAATACCCATAACTGTATATACACAACATTGAGGGGGGAAAAAAGCTATTCAGTCCACTGGGATAGGGATAAAAATTACATAATTACTTTTGAAGTAATTTGTAAATCCTTTTTTTATTTTTCATATTTTATCACATTTATATCATATATCCACTAGATAATGCTAACTGTCTCATATACCCTATTTAACACACACACACACACACACACACACACACAGCCCTCGTCATCTGCCTTATATCAGTTCCTGTTGATTGTGTTCTAGTTTGAAAGTGAAAAGTGAAAGTGAAAGTGAAATGTGACCAAGTATGGTTACCCATACTAGGAATTAGTGCTCTGCATTTAACCCATCGCCCCCTATACCCTTAAATAGGGTATCCTATTTGCACCTAAGTGCACACACACAGCAGTGAACACACACACACACCGTGAACCCCTTAACTCGTCGGTTAGTGTGAATGTTACCCTGGCTGTGTCCGAAATCGCCCCCTATACCCTCATGCACTATTCCCCACATTAGGTCACTAATTCAGTTCACTAGAAGGAGTGAATGAAAACATATAGGCTATATAAGATGTCCATCATATTGGAAAGGTCAAAGCTGGTCTGTGTACCCTGAATACATTTTTTCAGATATTATCTAATAACTAATATTATGTCTGCAATGTTAGCTAATTCTTCATATGGTAAATACAAAAATAATATTAGTTAAATAATTATTGTTGCTTGTCATTGGTTTGTTACTGTTCCACATTTTTCAGTACAGTTAAGTAATATCAGAATTCTCAGTCTTGGCCAGCATGAAAAGGGAAATATGGATGATAAAATTTTGCAGGCTAAAAAAAATTGTGTGACCTACAATTGTGTGACCTGTGATAAAAACTTTCAACCATTGTTGCACCAATGCTATGTGTAAAAAAGTTAACATACAGCCCTGATGCTGTGACCCGGATATTGATTAAAGTTAGCCATCTTCAAGGACATCTTAAATCTGTAATTGCACCATGACGAGGAGAGGAACAAGGAGTGAGGAAGCTTTTAGAGGAGCTATGAGCAAGGATACACACATCCTATGTGGTACTGTTATAGAATTTTTATTTTATTTTACATTAACAATGCAATGAATGTTCTATTTATTAAAAGGTAATGCAAGAAATGTTGTGATTGGTTGTCAAGGCAGCCAATCAGAATTTAGCAGCCTCGGTCTCTGATTGGCTGGAATTATGGCACATTGTAACGCTGGGTTGTGTTGAGCACGCGAGCTGTTGGCATTTAGCGAGCACTGAGGGCGGGCATCAGGTGAGCAAGCTAGTGAAACGTTGCACGCGCAAAAGAGAAGGTCTGCACACATCCAAAATCTTATTTTAAATGCAAAATTGATTTTCGTGCACTCTAAATACTTTCTTCTTTGTGAGACAACATTTTCTCCACAAAACTCAGTTCGCGCGCGTGCAAAACGCACTTTTGCACGCTCAAAATATGATCTTTCGTGCGCAGAATTGTGGCAGAATTGTAATCCCATATGAGCGGCCATATTGCATTCAAAAGTCTTTTTGTCACACACATCCTGAAAGTGAAGCCAAAACATTTCAATCGCCCCCTGGTGGCAAGCTGTAGTAAAGGCCATAAACACTGCCCTCTCCATGTTAACAAATGGGACATGAATGGCACTGCAACAGCGGTGTCACAGTGAACTTCTTTAGGGAGCTTCGAGAGGAGATTGAAGCTTTATTTTAAGTCCATAACTGTGTTGATTCACATCAACAAAGTAAGTTGTTCTGCAGTAAACAGTACTAACCAACATAAGGGATCTGACAGATCATTGAATTTTGTTCAGTTAAGTTCTTCCTGTTTGTTGCTGCCGTGTGTTTTGAGTTTGAGCTCCGTCAAGTTAATTCTTTATCGTCTATTTTTTTTTAAATTTTAAAATCAATTTCATACACCATCATTTTTATTTCTATAACGTGTGAATATATCCCCTATCGTATTCTACAACAAAAACAATCAGAGCGCCTTGTTATCACTA